CCTTAACCAAAGCATGTTTTATAATAATATATCTAATAATATAAGATACCTTTAATTTGTGGTAAATGTCTATTTTTAATGCAGGCCTATCACATAAATGAAAGGATTGATTGATGACTTGAAGAACTTAAATTGCAAGGATAAAGAGATGGCCAAACTTAGAAAAGAGATGTCGGTGCAATCCAAACCGGAACACTGTTCGGTAATTGGGTCATATCTAGAGCTATATATCTCAGATTTAGGTCCAATTTATATGGATGGAAAGGTAAGACATAGGCCTGCAACTTTCATATGGAGCCCAAGATCTAAAAAGGCCATTATCAAGTCCAAATTGTAGCAACAACAAAGAAGCCCGAATCTGTCTTCCAGCCCGAGCACTGTTCGGTATTTTGGCCATATCTGGAGTTCTAGAAGTCCAAATGAGCTGAATGTTTTACACAAGAAAGCTGAGACAATTGCCTACAACTTTCATGTTTGCAACTGGCTCCAGTTTTGACGTTATCAATGAAGTTTTGGGCAGACAAGAGAAGATAAGGATTGTCACTAAAAGCTGAGACAATTGCCTACAACTTTCATGTTTGCAACTGGCTCCAATTTTGACGTTATCAATGACGTTTTAGGCAGACAATAGAAGATAAGGATTGTCACCAAGTCAAAAGTTGGCCACCCACTTATCAATTAGTCATCAAATCAATAGTTCCCAATTTTGGCCTATAAAAGAAGGCATTTGCCATGCATTTAGGCATCTTGGTTTCCAGATCAAGATCATGTTCTTCCTTTCTCTCTTTGTATTTTTTGTAATGTTTATGCTTTGCTTTCATTAATATTAAGTTTATGCCTTTCATTTCCTTTCTTTTATTTAGTTAACAAGTTTATGCCTTTCATTTCCTTTCCTTTACTTAGTTAACTTTTATGTTGTTATTTTGTTTATCTATTTTTCTTTCTTTCATTATGTCTAGCTAAGTTAATTATGTCAAGGTGAAAAGGTTACACTAATGGTGTGAGAATAAGTATAATGTAAACTTAATATGGACTTTAATGTTTGATACTAACATGTTTTATATTTGTTATCTTGTTCACTCTTTAATACTTTGCTTGTTAAATGACTAATCTTGATTTATGTTGTATAACACTTGGTACAACAAATGCTTGGCACTTTCATAGCCCATAATGTATGGTATAACCGACACCTGAGCTATGAAAGGAACTTGATTTGTTGTTAACATAAGTTATAATCATGAATGCTTGACGAGATTTACAAGTATTAGCATTAATTGAATAAGATGACTAATGTAATCATGTTAACAATATATAATATGATTGGAACCTCCTTTGTGTGTGGTTTCCAATTCAATAATAAGAGTTTATACTATACTTGTTTGATATACCATTAGTGGAACCTCTAACCTTGACATTTGTTATTATTATTGCTTAATCCTTACATTAATATTTCATCTCTAAGTTCTCATCATCATCATCTTCTTCTTCTTCTCTTTCTTTATTATTATTATTATTATTATTATTATTATTATTATTATTATTATTACTACTACTACTACTACTACTACTACTACTACTACTATTATTATTATTATTATTACTGTTGTTGTTGTTATTGTTGTTTTATTATTGTTATTTATAATTTGTACAATTAACCTCCCTATGGTTCGACCCCGGTCTTGCCGGGTTATTTATTACTTCGACACTCCTGCACTTGGGAGAAGACAACAATCTTTTAGTCGTGTCAACATGGTAAAAAAATTTATTTTGTGTTTGTTGTGCTTTGGACTAGACTAAACAATTTATTTTATTGTGTGTTTGGTAGACATCATATAGGACTAGGCTATTCTAAGATTTAGACTGGTCCTAGTTTAAGAAACAAATAGAGGAATGATTGATTTGACTTGACCTAGTAAAAAACTTGGGTTAATTTATGACTTTATTGACCTATAACCCAGTCGATTTGAGATAAAACAAGAGTAAAAATCCATTGATTTTTTTTAATTCTTTTAGTTAAAAAGAGGTTGCTTTGATTTTTTTATGTCAATGTCAACTCAGGTTGATTCTTCTGATCCGTGACTGGGACCTTGTCATGGGTCAACACTCAAGTCAAATTTTAAAACCATGATAATAGTTATTTTTATCCATTTAGGTCTACTTGGGCGACTTGTAACCCTGACCTTGCCTCAGATTAATCACTAAGTTGGGTTTTAAAACTTTTATAATAATCATTTTTATTTTTATGGTCTCAAGTCAACTCAAATTGACCGTTTCAACTAGTGACCCTATCTTGGCCCCATGTTGACCCTTGAGCCATGTTTTAAAATTAATCTTGACATGGTCAATTGTCAACTCGATATGTGACCCGGTTCTTGTCTTGAATCAACCCTATAATCGAGTTTTAAAATTATTATAATCATTGTTATCCTTATGTTAACCTCGATCAATAGTCAACCCAACTAGTGACTTGAGTCTTGCCTAGTTTAACTCCCTAGTCGAGTTTTGAATTATGATAATAATTATTTTTATCTTACCACGATTAAAGGTCAACCTAACATGTGACCTAGGCCTTGCTCGAGTTAATGCCCTAGTCAAGTTTTAAAACTACAATAATAACTATTTTTATCATTATACTGAATTAGGTCAATGGTCAAACCGACCTATGACCAGCCCCTGAGTTGAGTTTTAAAACTATGATATAACCATTTTTATCCCTAAGATGACCTAAGTCAACGGTCAACGGTCAACTTTGTCCATGACTCAAGATTTGCCCAGGTTGATGCCCTATTTGGGTTTTAAAACTATGATAATAATCATTTTTATCCTTGTCTTATCTTGAATCAATGATTAACTCAACTCGTGGCTGAAGTCTTATCTCGTGTCGACCTTTTAACTGGGTTTTAAAACTATGATAATAACTATTTTTATGTTACTTGGATCAATGGTTAACCTGACCTGCAATATAAGCCTTGCTAGGGATGATGTCTTAGTCGAGTTTTAAAACTATGATAATAACCATTTTTATTCTTAAATTTACCTTGGTCAATGGTCAACCCAATTTGTGCCTCGAGCCTTGCCCGAGTTAACGCCCTAGTCGAATTCTAAAATTATGATAAGAATTAATTTTATCCTGAAGTTGACTTGAGTTAGTGGTCAACCCAATATGTGATCCAAATCTTACTCTAGGTTGACCTCCTAGTTAGGTTTTATAATTATTATAATAAAAACTTTTATTCTTACAATGATCTAAGTCAATAGTCAACCCAACTCATGAATCGGGCCTTACCCTGGGTCAAACCTAAAATACTAAGATAATAACTATTTTTATCCATATTTTGACTTGGTTTAATGACCAACCCGACTAGTAACCAACCTCCAAGTCAGGTTTTAAAAATATAATAAAAACCACTTTTATTTTTAAGTTGACTTAGGTCAATGGTCAACCCTATCTATGACCCAAGCCTTATTTGGGTTGATGCCTTATTCAGGTTTTAAAAATATGATATTAATCATTTTTATTCTTAAGTTAACTCGAGTTAATGGTCGACTCAATTCATGAATTGAAAATTTTCTCGAGTTGACCTTTTAATCTGGTTTTAAAACTATGATTTTATCCTTATATTGACCTGAGTCAATGGTCAACCTGACTTGTGACTCAGACTCGGCCCCTAGTCAATATTTGATTTGAATTTTAAAATTATGATAATAACTACTTTTATCTTTATATTAACACGGAGCAATAGTCAACCTGACCCATGACTCGAGGCTTGTCCTAGGTCAATGCTTGAGTTTAATTTTAAAACTATGATGATAGCTAATTTTATCTTTATGGTGACCTAGTTCAATAGCAAACTAGACTTGTGACCTAGACCTAACCCCTAGTTAACATTTAAGTTGGATTTTAAAATTATGATAATAATCATTTTTATCCTTACATTAACAAGGATGAATGATCAATTTGACCCGTGACTTGAGTCTTATCTTAGGTTGATACTTAAGTTGGATTTTAAATCTATGATAATAATCACTTTTATCTTTATATTGACTTGAGTCACTAGTCAACCCAATTTATGATCTAAGTCTTATTTCTAATCGAGTTTTAAAATTATAATAATTAATATTTTTATTTTTATATTAACTCAAATCAAACTGAATTAATTTTTTTATCAAGAATTAGACGAGAAGTTTGTCCTAGCCTATTAAAAAGACAAAAATATCTCTACTGGAATAACATGAAACAATTTTTATAGTATCCCGAGTTGTACTAAACAGCACCTGATTGAATTCGCTTGTCAACGATATTATTAGTGGTATATATGATTTAATTTTTCATATGCAAGTGAGAGAGGAGTCCAGAGTGTAATTAGTATAATTATTATTGTTATTACTTATAATCACGGTAATATAATAATTGATAATGATAATTACTATTAATAAACAATGTCATCCTTTTAAGTTCAGTTAACATGAAGGCCCAGTCCTAGATATGCGTCAAAACGAATCCTTTATCAACCATCCTCTTTGTGTCAAGATGGGAGAAACCAATACTAGGAAAGTTAAATACAACATTGAGAGGACATCTCTACAATGGAAGAAGGATATATTGTTCCATGTTGTAGAAGCTAGATATCTAGAGGAGTATCCACTTGAAATGGAAGAAGAGTATTAACTTCAGCAATTGAAAAGAGAATGGTGTTGAAGGAGTTGAATAAAGCTGCTTTTATTGAATAGAAAGCGTGTTATTGTGAAAACCGATTCAAAACTTGAAGGCCTAACTTTGCTATAAATTCTTAAATTTATGATTGTGACATGAATTACAGTTTAGTTCCAGTATTTCTTTGATTGATAGTTAATGAATCATACTTTTCCCTTTCTTAAAAAAAAAAAAAAGCATGAAGACCCAATCCCATCGAACACAGTCGGCAACAGTACCACAGCTAAACCCATAGAGTTCACAGTATTTCTCTGATGTTAAAAGGCATCTGCAGAGACCATCATTCTCAGTGACAATAAAATATTCTTTGACTGAAAATTGAAACCAGAAATTCAATACAGTAACCGGAAGGCAGATTAAAAATTGTTCACAGCATCCACTCGGTAACAATAAGAACAATTCATAATTCTTTAAAAAAACTAACAATGAACTATAGAAAATGGCAAAATCTCAATGACCATTTAAGACCTTGGCTTCTCCTTCTTCTCTTTGAAAAGTGCCAGAAGGGAGACACCAGAGACCTTCACAACCTTGAATCTAACACCAGGAATATCTCCAACGGCATGACCTTTACGCCCAAATCCAGCAATTAACACCTCATCCTGCAACAACAAATCACACTCTAGGTTATCAGCAAACAAAGTCCAAATCAATTAAAGTACTCAACAAATCACTTTCACACAAAGAATACTCACATTTTCTTCAATATAGTTTAAGCAACCATCATTGGGAACAAAAGCAGCAATCTTCTTTCCATTTTTGATTAGTTGAACTCTAGCACACTTTCTAATAGCAGAGTTAGGCTGCTTGGCCTCAATACCTCTGTAAAAATAACAAAGCCAAATAGTAGAAATAAGCATTTATTAAAGCTTTAATGTTTAACAAATAAAAATGAAAGCAAATTTAAAAAACCATAAGGCAGCCTTACATCTTCTCAAGAACAATGCCTTTGGCATGAGATGAACCTGCGAATGGTTTCTTCCATTCATTGCCAAGGTTGGACTTCTTGTACGACTTGTCAGCCCACCTCTGCCTTCTGCGGTGGGACTTGAGCTTGCGACCAGCTCCCATACCTCGTGTCTTACTGCATTGACATCACTCAAATAATTCAGAAAAATAACCTTTACAAATTTAAATCGAGAAAACCCAATACACTGTCCTAAACAACTAGCAAGTTATGAACAATGCACGGTACAAATATTACTATTTCTAGAGCTTCTAGCCATCAAATTTGATATAGCAAGATATCTAATATCCCTGATTAACAAATCTGCTTATTTCATTCCCATTTCACATAAAAAAAAGAAGACTATCCCTTACCATTGCAAACCCACCAAAACAAAACATGTTCAGATTGATAGTAGAAAGATTGAAATTTAACTAAACCGCATTCGGACAAAACAGCCTAATAATCAATCCAAATATCAGCTTAATCACTGAATAGTCTTTATATGAGCTCGGTCTCCCGATTTTGAAATCCAATCTCAAAGGTACCAAATTTAATTCTCGGAAAAAAATATGGTATCCACTAAGACTACGATGGATTTTCATAAACCCTATTGCAGGGCATAATGTTTAGGACTTAAAAAGGTTTTTTCAAATTTTCCATCTTCAATTCTCTCAGATAAGAAAACACTAAGATGCTAGAAAAAAAAATCAAAACAAATAGAAGGAACCCTAAGCGTCACAAATTCTAGAACAGAAAAGTATTCGAGTAAGAGAGGAAGCGTACCCCATGGTCAATGAGATAAGTTGATCGACGGCAGAAAGGGCTTTGAAGCTGAAGAGAAGAAGCAACCGCTGCCAAAGAAAACCCTAACCCTACAAATGAAGTGAATGCTGTCTATATATACAAACACACGTATGAGTGGGCTGGTTCGGCAAAGTTTGGTTTCATCCGAGAACTTGTTGGGCTTATGGAAGAACTTGTTGGGCTTATGTTTGGGCTTGTAGTTCGAAATTCAGTGTGTGTGCACGCGCTCGTGTTTAGAGAGAGAGAGAGAGAGGAGTATTCCGTCTTTAAGGAAAACAAAATAAAACGAGTAATTGAATTTTTGAGAGAAAAAGCTTGTTATCTTTAGGGTTTTTCTGACATGGACTCTTGTGTATCCTCCATCCAATTTTATGTAACCAATATGGGTTGGCTTTTTAGCTAAAAACATAGAAGAACAATTTCACTTTTGAAGCCAAATGAACACATAGTTATAACTGAAATTAATAGAAATGAATTCACTCTTTTTGTAGTTTAAGCTACTAATAGTACCGGTAGACTTAAAAAAAAAAAAGATGTTGAAGTGTTGCTGGTATATTTTAAAGCAAAAAACAAAAAACAAAATCATGGAAATCTAGTTATGGATCCTATTGTTCTAATAAAATGGTTTAATTTAATTATATAATAAAAAATGACATTAAATGTACTTATTCTAAATAGAAAAGGTAATGATAATGACATGTAGAAAAAAAGTATTTGTCAAAAGAAAAAAGAAAAGGAAACTAGATTTCAAGATAACCCAATGTTGAAGGAATAAGTTTAAAAAAAGAAAGATCCATAAGCCAATCCAAGTTAGTACGAAAAACTCGCGACCTAAGATATGAGATTGGGTCATCCTTATAAAACAAATAAAAAAAATAAAGAAGTTCAATATGTAATAAACTCAATGTTGAAAAAAAATCATTGTAAAAAGATTAAAAAAAAATACGATATCAATCTGAGGTAACCTCTTATATCCATGATTCAAGTCATGAGATCAGGATCATCGTATCGAAAAAGATTAAGAGACTCTATTTTCAATAATTCAATGTCCAATGATGAAATTTAAAAATACTAAATCAATGTTTAAAAAAAAAAGATAAAATAAGCAATTAAAACAATGAAAACTAAATTTGATGTTAAAACAAAAGCAAATAAAATGATGTAAAAGTCTTGAGTCAATTTAAGTTGGCATAACAAATCTGCAATCTGGGTTGCTAGCTGGGGTTATCCTCATAAAAACTAAAATAAAAAAAATAAAGAAGCTTCATCTTTAATAAATTCAATGTTAAATGATAAAATCAAAAAAATAAAATTGGTATAAAAAATATTTTTTTAAAAAAAAAACAATGGCAATCTAGGTTAACATTTTATATTTGTGACCTAAGTTATGAGATTGTGTTCACCGCATCAAAAAAAATTTACAAAGCTCAATTTTCAACCAACCCATTGTTGAATGATGAATTTAAAAAAATCAAATCAAATTAAAAAAATTCAAATAAAAAATGATTAAAAAAATAAGGAAAAAATTCAAATAAAAAGGTGATTAAAAAAATAAGGACCAAATTAGACATAAAATTAAAATGAAATAAAAAGGTGTAAAAGCCCTAAACCAATTAAGTTAGCATGACAAATTCACGACCTGAATAATGAGGCTGGGTTATCCTCATAGAAAGTAAACAAAAAAAACATAAAGAAGTTTAATATTTAATAAACTCAATATTGAAAGATAAAAAAAATTAGTATAAGTAAAAAAAAAAATCTTAATATGAGTTAACATTTCAAAGTTGTGAATCAAGTCATGAAACTGGGATCATCATAATAAGAAAAATACGTAGCCCAATTCCAATCCTTAACTAATATAACGTTAAAGGATGAAATTAAAAAAAAACTGTATATTTTAAAAAAGGAACCAAAAAAAAAAAAATTAGAACCGAATTTGACATAAAAAATAAATAAAATGGTGTAAAATCCCCGAGACAATCTGAATTAGCATGACAAGTTCACGAGGTCAGGTTGTCTTTGTAGAAAACAAACCAAAAAAAGTAAAAAAGTTTAATCTTTAATAAACCCAATTTTAGAATTAAAAAAAAATGGTATAAGAAAAGATTAAGAAACAATTGATGTCAATCCACGTTAACATTTCATACTTGTAACGCAGTTCATAAGATTTGAATCATCACACAAAAAAAATATTACAAAACTCGATTATCAACCATTCTAATATTAAATAATAAAATTGAAAAAAAAGAAAACCAATTTCAAAAACCAAACCAAAGAAAAAAAAATTAAAAGAATATGAATTAAATCTGACTTGAAAATAAATGAAATAAATAATGAGAGATAAAATAAAGAAAACAAATTTAATTAAGAAAATAATATAAAAATAACAATAAAAAATAAGGATCAAATTTGATATAAAAATCAAATAGGACCAGATGCTAAAAGATAAAATTAAAGAAAATAAATTCAAATAAAAAAATAAAGCACATAAAAAAAATAAGGACTATAATTAAAATAAGACAAATGGAAGGAAAACTTTTAATTTTGGCTGGGCAGTATGATTTTGAAGGAGACGAGAGAGAAAATAAGAGGAGAAGAAAATTCAATCATCATTTAATGATCATGAATCATTGTACATGTATTGCCCTATAGGATGTGTCGCCACTCGACGCTTCAGATGACATGATATTGGCTATTTTTGGATGTCAGGTGACACCACATAGATTGCCCAAAGGCCACGGGCACCTCTCACATGTTGGTGTGTGCCATGCATTGGCGAGCTATTTTTTTAATAATATTTAACATTTTTTAATATACCAAATTTCCCCCTAGTCTACTTGATAATTATCCAAAAACCAAGATGAAATGAAAAAAAAAAAAAAAAGCTTATAGATGTGAACCTACAAAAATTTAATTTTAAGGGTAATTTAGTTATTTTGTTTTTCAAGTTTAAATAAAATTTCCAAAAAGCCTCTAGAGGCAAGTTAAAGAGATTTTGCTTTTAAAGGCTATTTAGTAATTTTATTGTGAAATGAAAATGTGATAAGAATGAGATGTCTTGGTCGATTTGGTAATAACAAATTGATATCATAAAAAAAAACCATATTACCCCTTAAACTAATTTATTTTATTTTTTTTTAGAAATGTAAAATAATCATTTCATTGTGCAAATTTACAATGAAATATGAGTACGTGCAAAGTCAAAGACTAACCTTTTTTAGTGTGTTTTGAAAAAATAATAAAAAACTAAAAAGGGTGGTAAAAATATTTTTTTTCTTTAGACACAATGCATAGTGGAAGGAAAATATTTTTATTATCTTACCCTTTAAAAAAACCTTATACGCTAATATTTAAAGGTAAAATTGTCTTTGTAATAGGATTATTTTGGGATTTTAGAATTAATCGAAGATAAGATGGAAATTTAGCTTTTTATTTGCCTAGTGAATTGAATTCGATACCTTTAAAAGTAACAAATTACAAGTCTATCTTAAAGGGTTTACTTTGTTATTTCATATATAACCTATTTATCCTTATAATAATAATTAAAAAAAAAAAACAACCTTTAGTTGATAGTAGAGGGAATTTTTGTGTTTTTGTTTCAAAATAACAATAAAAAGATTTAATTGCTTTTAAAGTTCAAATTATGATACATTAGGTCCGAGAACATTTTTGTTATTGCGCTATTTTTTTTTTGTTATTACCGGGTTTGGTTTTGGAAAAATTTAATAGATGAAAAATATTTTTAAAAATTGGGCATTACATTTGTCATCTGCTCCATCTTCTCTAAGTAGCATGCATTGTTGATTCTGAAGGTAAAAAATGAGGTTCCAAGCCATTATTTGATATGTATTGATAGTACGTTCACGGTTGGGTGATGCATGCACTCAACAAATCTCTAAATGTTGCTAACCATCATTTTTTTCCTTTCTTTCTCTCTCTTTCTCGATTTTTGCACCATGCTTTATAATTTTTCAAATCAGCCCTTTATTTTTTCTTTTTAAATTTAGTTTCTATTATTTTGATTATTATTTGTTTTATTTTTTCCTCTCAATTTCATCATTTCACATTAAATTAGTTTGAATTTAAACTTTTTGGTTAAGCTCGTATCTAGGATTTCATATGCAATAAATTTTAGAGATTAACTCAGCTTTAGAAGATTCGCCTGAGTTTACTTGTTTTTTTTTTTTTTTTCATTTTTAGGCTAATATTTTTTAATTTTATTATTTAATATTTATTTAATTGGAAACTTAAATTTGATTTTTTTATCTATTTACTACATCCTTTTTTTTCTCTTTCCTTTTTTATTTAATTTGGTTATATTAGTTCTTTTTATTTTTTTCATTCTTTGTTAAATTTATTTTTAAAAAAAAATTATTCTTGAATTAAATAGAATTAATTGAATAAATATAAGCATGAGATGCTTACTTCATAATATTTTATTTAGTTTGCTTTTCGGGTTATTGCTTTAACGACCCATATAGCTTCTTTTAGTTTCGTCATTCAGCCTTTTGCAATGGGGGCTGAACTTTTCTGGTGGTGGGTGGTGTCCATGGTGGAGAAACAATGAGTCTCTAGCAGACTTTTCTCATTTCTCCTCACTTTTCTCATTTCTCCTCTCGAGTTTGATATTAATGACTTATTTTTTATAGTTAATCATTGCCAAATATTTCTTTACCATTTGTCCATTGTCATTTTCCACTTTCTAAATTAGATTGTTAGATTACTAGATCTTAATGGATTCAATCAAGTTAATGACATGAATATCAGGTTTTTCTTACTTTTTTAAAAATACTATCATCACTTGAGCACTCCTTTTATATGTTAGGTTTAGTCCATTTTAAAATCTCAAGTTAAATCTAGTCATTGTTGTTTAGTGAGTAGTCTATCTACCTATATTTAGTTAATAATATATCTATTTTAAGCTTCTACTCCAATATTATTTTAGTGAGATCCCTTGAAATGTATGTGTGAATATGTTAAGAGCTTGTTTAGACCCAACAAGATTTGTTGGTCATGCTCGCTTGTGGGCCAAACAATTTTTTTTATGTAAAAAATATGTTAAGGTAAAAAAAATCTAAGTTTTGAATTA